TTTAAAAAAGTATCCCATCACTACAAACCTGTAATATAAACCTTTTTAGATGTTATAAAAACATCTTATGCCAGAATATAAAAATCAGTCATGTTTTCAATAATTCTGACTCAGGCCTATCACTTTACCTGAACATTTGAATGATTTGAAACATTTCCATTCCCAGCTGAAAGACTGCCACACTCTGGTAGTATTTATTGAACATCTATTATTTGATGGACCCTTGGGAAGAATGAATCTGATTTTCTCCTCCCAAAGAGCTCATTGTGATAATGTGATTTCATTACCATCATGCTAAAGCAGTAACATATTTTGTCTCTGCCTTGTCTTAGGACAAGTAAGGAATCTACCGTTCATAACAGAGAACTAAAATTATAATCACTATAGGACTTTCTGATTAACAGTTAAGTTGTATATATTTATTTTTCTTAAATAATTAAAAATGAATAAAATAAAAATAATAAATATAACAATTCTTTTATGCAGGATAACATATAGTAAATTTTGACTGTATATAAAAGCATAGCCTGTGATTTCACAGGAAAATAAAAATACAGGGCCCTCCCTGGTGACACAATGGGTTAGGACCAGCACTGCAACCATATCAGTGTGAGTTCAATCCCACCCCGAGGGATCCACATGGTGTCACAGACCTTTCCTGACCTGCCCACTGCTCCTCTCTGCAGTGTACTTCGTTTTTCTGCCTGTTCTGTTCCCCACTCTGTCTCTGGTGAATCCTCTCACTGCCCCTGCACCTCTGGCTTGTACCCCAGTTCTGTATGCATAAATAAATAAATCTTTAAAAAAATACACTAATAGTAAGAAAATAAAAATTAGTCCAGTAAACTCTAAGATAATGCAAAATATCTTTAATCATTTGACATGAGTATTCATTTTTAATGATGGTATTATAGTACAGAATAATGATCTGTAGGTCAGCTGAAACCTAGTTTTACTCAGGAAAAGTAACAGGGCTAACCTAGACTATTATCTCCTAGCCATGTGTCAAAATAATTGTTAAACACCAAAACCTCCACATTCCCATATGAGATGAATTCCTACTTAATGAATTTTCCTTTCAGATCTATTCTCCACTCCCCTCTAGAAAATCATCACCTCGACAGACATACGTCACAGTGTTTGTCGTAACAGAGAAGAAACAAACAAGAGTTGAGTGGAGATCATTCCTAGATTTCCTGCCATTATTCCTCAGAGAAGAATAACAGCAATACCTGGAAATACATTAAAAACAACTGTGCATGGTCTTTTTTTTTAAAGATTTATTTGTGCACACAGAACTGGGCTACAAGCCAGAGGTGCAGGGGCAGTGAGAGGATTCACCAGAGACAGAGTGGGGAGCAGAACAGCTCGAATGATGAAGTACGCTGCTGAGGGGAGTAGCGGGCGGGTCAGGAGAGGTCTGCGACGCCATGTGGGTCACCTCAGGGACAAGGAACTGAACTTGAACGGAAGCAGCCTCTGTCAGCTTGCAGTGCTGTGTCCTAATCTGTTGCGCCACCAGGGAGGGCCCACATATTCTTTTTTTCTAAAGTTAATTATCTTTGTTTTTTAATTTTGTTTGTATATATATGTATACACACACATACACACACATTACATGGATGCATGGCATTATAAACTTATTATAAAGCAAATACATGATTAGTATAAAATATCATCTCCATGGTCAGGAAAAAGAACACTGCCTACCATCCCAGAAGCCTCTGCCATGAGTTCCATCCAATCATAACCAAACCCACCTCTGACTTACACAGGAATTGTTTCCTTGAGATTTTGTTAGCTTTGTTATCCAAAAGTGCATCCCTATACACTATTAACTATTTCTAATATATTATTTTATGCTTAGTATTGATGCTAAGTATAGGTGCTCAATAATCTATATATTTTGAAACATGAATACAAGATCAAGGATTACTTATCTAAAATGTTTTCTTCCCTTTTTCTTACAGTAAGTATGGGCAGAGAGATTTTTTGAGAAAAAGTAAATTAGCACTGTGTCTATAATCATTTGGCAAATAAAGTAATAAAGTAACGAGATTCCATTGTCTAAAGCTGCAACAGGATACAAGCCAAAAAATAAAAAAAGCCAGAAGTCAGAAAAATTTCTCAAAAATAATTAGCTAAAGAAAGTTATTAAAGATTACAGAATGGCTTACAATTTTAGCTATTTAGTTTACAGTGCTCTCAAAACATGCACATTTGAAAATAATCTCATGTCTTCCACTAGAAAAGGTAAACACCCATGCAAGTGACATGGGAATGTGAAACATAACCATCAATTTTAAATTTAATTTTACTAAAAGCTTTTATTTTCTAATTTCAGAAGAGATTAAATTTTACATTTAAGTAAATTCCAATCTATTTTAAAGCAAATCTTATGAATACAAAACTAGTATTTTCTGTAGATGTTTGGAAATTTCAAAAAATATTTATAGATAAAAGTGAAAATATTATTAACATTTTGGTCTTTATTTTAATTACAAAGATTATTCAGTATTTATGCCTCATTATCGCTTCACTGTTTTTTCAAAATAGTACTTTATCTTTCATTGTCATTCAATCTTATAGATAAATGACTAAAATAAACTACCTTTTAAAGGTATCCAAATTTAAATAGCAAGGTTTTTTTTTTAATATAAAGTTCATTACTGATGAAAATATTTTTCAGACTGTTTCCTTGAGAACTACCTAGAAGTTCAGTAGTTATACATATTAATTACTTTATTAGAAATGGTTCCATAATATACTGTACAATTCTAGAATTTTGCCAAAATCTTATTGTTCCCATTTTCCATTTTCTTCCCTGAATCTTTCAAACTTATGTACCTACATACTGAATGTAAATTATATGCTGATCCTTTTCAGAAATTACATGAAAAATTCAGGTCATCTATGCATCTAAACACTGTTACCATTAAAGCATACAAGAAACAACTATATTTCTAAAAGTCCATTTACTACAATATTACAAGTATGTCAAACCCTACCTTCCATTAACCTTCATTTTAATAAAAATTTGGAGATGTAGTAGCACTGCATTTGAATGTTTTAAAGATATAACAAAAATGTCATTAAGAATAAGCCACATTTCTTAAAAACGGTATCTGAGATAAATGTATTAAGCATCTTCATAAAACATGTGCTAACATTCACAACAAAATATACCAACCAAACACTGAAATTTTTCTAAACTATATTTTCTCAGGGCAAACTTACATAGTAATGGGATATTCCTTTTAAATCGTTCGAATTTTCCTACCTCCCTCTAGCCAAGCCTCATGTTCAAAAACCTCGAAATAGTAGGTTTTAAAAGCTAATTAATATGAATACTCTGAATGTTGAAAGTACCTTGAGTGCAAACTGATGATAATGGCAGCTATACAAAGACAATAATCCTTTATCAGATGCTTCTAAGGCAGGGGTGCTAAACTATAAGAGCTCTATGATACACAGTAGGATGTATCTTTCCATGCAATAGAAATTTGAAAAAAATATTTTCAACTATTTTCTCAAAGTGTTCATAAATATTATATAGTCTTTAGAGTAGAACACTGACCATCTAGCTGTCAAAATTAGTGGGTATTTAAAAAAATGTTTTCAATGTCTGGCAGGCTAACCCTAGGATGGGCATGTCTTTCTTAGTGTACAAGACAGATGTGATGGGGTTGTCCACTCTAGTCAGACCCTTAACGCTATTCATGATTGGGTCTCTGCTTTGCTTTCTGCTACCACCCAAGGGAAAAAGGAAAATGAGATTGTGCAGATATAAACATTGCGTCCTGGGCCCTGCCTTATCTGCCATTTCTCTACTTGTTTTTTGTGTGCAAAAGCATCCCCTTCACTCACTTGTCCCCAACGGCTACTTAGTGCATAGCAAGCTTTATGAGTACAATCAGTATCAGAGGCAGTGACCACAAGCAGTCAAATCTTAATCAATTTAGTACGTGGTTAAAGTATTATACAGTCCCTGCCAGAAGCCCAACATTTTCACTTCTCAAAAGTCTATAGTATCTTCTTTGTGCTGCTTCTGAAGTTGTAATTCACCTGGCTATTTCTACCTTATTCTAAGACTCAAGTATTTTCTTTGGAGGAGCAAGGTCCCTTTCCCTTTTGAGCCCTAGCTTTGGTTTTTAAGTCCATCTACACAGAATGATGACACCCTAATTTTCAGTACTTAGTGTCATATATTTCCTCAGGCTCCACCCACAACTCCACTTTCTCCAAACCAAACAAACTGAATTTCCTCTATCCCAAACTCAATCTGGCCTTCATTTATGGTCAGTTCTACATACATTTTTTTCCAGCCCTGGGAATATTTTCATCTCGTTCATAAATTTTTCCCTAGAGAAAATCTTCTTTGTCCCCCCTCTTTTTACTTTTTGTACAATTCTACTTCTTGATACCATCAATTCTCCAAAGTCTTCACTTAGCCAAACAGCCCACTGCTTTCCTTAACAATTTTTTTAAAAAATTACATTTTGATTTTTGCACAGAATCTTTTCTTCTCCTGTATGCCCTTTAACTTACAATATATTTTATTTATAAAACTGAATTTAGTGAAAGGGATATTTAACCATATGATATATTACTAAAAGATGCAAAAAGAGTATATTAATATATAATTTTTAAATCTTATCTGCAAAAGAAGAGCTATCATTTACAGAATTCCTGTGATGACTCTGTGGAATAAAGAATTACTATTTCATTTTTTAAATCTGAAATCTCATGAATCAGGCATACTTAATGAAATACTTTTACAGCTTGGAGTCAGGACTATTTTCAGTTTCTTCAGCAAGACTCACAACACCAATATGTATTTCACGTTTAAAGGTACAAGCTATTTTTAAAGAAAACAAAAGAATTTCTCCAATTTCTTAAGTATCAAAGGAAAAAACAACAGATGGCCCCATGCGTTTTTTTAGAGTAGAGGTTATAAAGAAACTGACCATATAACTTAGTAAAATTACATATTAACTTACATAGTCGTGGAAGGCTTTTGCTTCACTTGAATGTTCACATGTTTCCCGTCTTTCTGGAGCTGCACAGTAGAGATCCCAAAACACACTAAAAAAGTAATTATGGTGACATTAAGAAAGTCATATAACAGTAAAAGGGAGCAAAATTCCAGAAACTGAAGTCATACTATTCTTTATACAAAAATCTGTTTTCTTCTTCAGGACAAATAGTTCCTTGAAAATTTATAAAGGACAAAATAATTAAAATTATAAACTGTCATTCTTAATTCTTCAATGACTAAACCTCATTATTGACATAATTATCATACTTTCCCACTAAACATCAGGACAGTATATAATGTCTTAATTTAATCATTAAAGAATAAAGTGACTCAGTAATTTTCTCAGTATAACTTTGTTTTCCAACTCCCTACTCAATATACTGATCAAAGAAGTCACACTGCTCAAATTTTCTTAAAATATCCTTTTGTTTTTTCTTGCAATTTGCAAAGTACATAATTTTGAAAATTAAAAAATCTACCAGAAACAATGGAATAAAAACAGTCAGAACTGGTTGGGAAAAATATTATACATATACAAAATATGTGGTTCTGGTCATTCTTCCTGTCTATAAAATGAACAATGAACATGACAAGCAAAGTATTAAAAAGTTAGCAAAGCAAATTTCTAAAACTGTTGGTGATAAAGGCAATTGTACTGATCAGAAGATAAGTTTTTATTATACATTTTGCACTCAAAGATGAAAAGTAGGCTAAGATAAGTGCTTAAGAGTAATGATCTGAAATAGAACATATGAGACAGAAGTGAACCTCTCTAATAGTGAAGACCAACATAAACAGATCAAAACACTATTTCCTCCTCTACAAAATGAGGTTGAGAAAATTAAGTTATATAACAAGTGAGTATCAGATATACAGTAAGCAAACTACTGATAACATCAACACTAATTAGCATACACAAAAGCTTTAAAAATATATATTTAGGCAGGTAAATTATATAAGGTTACAGGTAACAGTGGTACAATAAAGTTTGGCATACTGAACTTCAAGTTCAATTAGTTTGAATCTTCCCTCCTTGCTCAGAGGAAAACAATGTAGGTTTACAACAGTTCATTAAGGTATGATTATTCTTAGAGCTCAGTAATACCGTTGAACAATGCTCTTTCCTCTTAAAATTCCACAATAAGCAAGAAGTACAAAGAAAACAATAAAGACAAAAACAATTTTTAGTTATATTTAGGTCATAGCATATATGTGTAGTATTACAACAAACATACCCTTTCTTGCTTCCTAATTTTCTAGCAAAATAACATAGAACTCTCTTGAAAATTATTTCAATGTTACTTTTAAAGAGTAATCTTATGGAACAGAAAGAGAAAAATAATTTATATTTGTGGTAAGCCCTAACTTTATTATATATTGTTGATGATCTCTTATACACATAGAATTAAAAATTTTATCTTAGAATAGTAGCACTGTTCTAGTTCTTTTATTAAGATTGCCTTTATGGATTTAATGGAAGTTGAATTTGCAATATCAAGATCAGATATAGTAAATCACAAAAAATATTAACTTTATGTATGGTATTTCTAATAAACCTACATTACCTATGTATATATAATCTTTTTGAATAAAGGTAAAGAAATATATTCTTTAAAGACTCTTATCCAAGTGAGAGTTCTATAGTAATTCTTGGAAGTATCTCAATAATTCCTTCTCAATGATTGGCGGAACCAGAGAATAAACAAGTAAACAGACAACTTAAATAATAAGCCAACTAGATCTAACCAGGATACAATACTCTCCCACAACCGTGTATCCATTATTTCAAGAACACATGAGACATTTCCCAGGAAAACTGTGTTAGGATACAAATTGAGTCTCAGTAATTTTTTAAATGAATAAAATTTGCCTCAAATTTCCTTTCTAATCCTTCACAGTTAGTGAAGATGAACGTCTCTCCATCACTTTTTCCTGTGTTTCACTTACCTATTTTCCCAGACAGAGTTTGCTTTTTCTCTAGAGCTTGACTGCTCTGTTCTTTGTCTCCTGTCTTATAACATTTTATATTCCACTCTTATGATTACATTCCTATCCTAGTTGTAGCTTACATCGTCTAACATTAAGTTTAACTTAACTCAAATAATTATACAGCACCAATTACAGGGATGACAAGGTGAGAAAGAACAGTTAGTCAATTACACCATTCTAGTAAGTCAGTTACCTAATTCCAGTGCTACTGTTTTCAGATGGATATTTGGTTTTTTCTTACCTATACTTCATGTCATCCATTACATTGTAAAACCATGTGCAATCTCGCTAGCATACTGCCAGATTTGATTTCTCACAGTCAGGTGAATAAAAGTGAATTCTCATGATAATCTTGGTTATTAGTTTCTTTTCTCTCTAATGTCATATAAATTTAATTTCAGATATACAAAGCACCGAGGTTATTTCAATGGGTATTTTATATATACATAATCAAATAAAAATGGGATATAGTTCCTGCCTTTAAAACTTTAAATAGTAAGTTTTAAGAAGTATATCTTTTTAACCTACAAAAATTGGAAATGATGTTAATTTCAAGGTTTCTTGATTTCTATTTCTAAAATTCGTAGAAGAGCTGGGACCTTTTATTAAAGCATATAAACAGTAAATACAGTTTCAAAGAGGATCTGATCCAGGTAAAAGTATGAACATGGGTGGCATGGGAAATGCTAGAGAACTGGGCATGGTGGAAACTGGGAAAGAAAAAGAAGTGATAAGGAAAATAACATCAGAAACAAAAAAGCTCCAAAGAATAAAATCACACTTTCCTCTATGTCTTACTAACCTCCCTCTACAAGGCAATTGCCTCTCATATCTCCTGAATTTTATTCTGTATTTAAGTGTGCATTCATACATCCTTAACTCATCCCATTCTTTTCATCTCAATTACTATACAGTCTCAATATTATTAGTAAGTCAGCTTTCCCAAATTGAGCTACATATGTTATGCAATCCCAACCAGTATTCCAATAAGCCATTTTGTAGCTATTTACAGGATAATTCTAAACTTTGTATGTATAGGAAAAAGATTAAAATAGTCAACACTACTGAAAAGAACAAAGTTGGTGGACTAAAATTACTGCATTTTAAGACTTAAAAGCTATAGTAATCAAGACATTTTATTAGTGAAACAGACAATGGAGCAGAACAGAAATGCCTATTGTAAAACAATGTTACCTCAATGATATTTAAAAAGCAAAACAATAAAAATTAACCAAAAAACAAAGGAAAAAGAAATAAGACCCACAAAAGTAGTTAACTGATCACTGACAAAGGAGCAGAAGCGATATAGTGGAGGAAAGGACAGTCTTCATTAAATGATGTTGGAACACTGGACATCAACATGCAGAGAAAAATAAATGACTCTAGACACAGGTCTTACAGTCTGACAAAAATTGATTCAAAATGGCTCATATATCAAAATATAAAACAAAATTACAAAACTCCTTGAAAATGATGTTCAGGAGAAAACCAGTTGATTTTGGGTGGGTATGATCGATGACTTTTTAGATAGAGCAGTAAAAGCATGATCCATGAAAAAAAGTAACTGATACACTAAATTTTATTAAAATTAAAAACATCTCCTAATAGACCATGTAAGAAGAGAAAGCCACAGATTAGAAAAAAAAAATTTTCTGTGATAAAGGTCTGTTATCCAAAATATGTAAAGAAAATTTAAAATTCAACACAAATAACCCAATTAAAAGTGAGCCAAAGACCAGAATAGACACGTCACCAAAATGTGTGTGTGTGTAGCAGATATATCGAAAATCTGTGTCTTCCCTTGAATTTTGTTGTGTCTATTAAACACTACTCTAAAAAGAATTATTAATAAAAAAGCCAAAAAGGCCTCTGAAACACTATTTTGTTTTGAAAGGTAGGTCAAGCATCTGCTGAATATAAAGCCAACAGTCATGGTTGACTATACACTACAATCCAGAAAGCTTAGGATCTGGAAATCTCACAAGAAGACAGGATACAAAGCTTTTCACCAGATGTCAGAGGGCTTTATGACTTCAAGATTAAGAATCACTGATTTATGTAGATGATGTAAGTAGGCACTTCATGGATAGACTAGTGATTTTAGGGAAGAAAATTTTAAAGGCTGAAAATACTGGAACTATATATTTTACATGTGGTAGATTAAATAGAAAAAATTCAGTCTGAAAATATTTGTGTCCAGGTTTTATAATTTGATATCTCCAATTATGAATTAAGCCTATTTAAAATATTAAAACTATGAAAAACACCTCTGAATCTAAAAGTAGGAAAAGGAAGATCAATGGCAGACTTAAGAGTTACATTTTCAGATAGCTAAACGAAAATTGCAGTAATCTAACAGAAACAAAAAGTCAAATAATTAGATATTATCAAACACCTACAGAATAACATAGGCCCATTCATGAGAAAGATTCCAAAAAGGAAATGGGTTCAAGAAACGGAATAAATTCTACAGTAGAAAATTCAAAATCCAAAATCCTCACTTCGTTAGCACACTCTTAAAGCAGTTTCTTATGCCACTTTATAGACCTAAAGGAAGCCAAAATATGTACCTAGGGCTTATCAACAGGTGAGGCGACTCAACTACAATCAGTAGTTAAGTACTTACAGTCTAGATCTAGATAGAAGTCTGTATTATGTAAAATAAAATAAACTCATAATATTATACATTATAAGGCAGGAAACAGCACAATGATAATGCTTAACAGTAACAAACCGTTGTTCCAAATACAGGAACAACAGTGAGCTAGCACCGCACCTGTTCCTGCCACACAGTTGTGAGACAAACAGGGAAACCCACAACCACAACTGACTGTGTGTGGTTCCATTTACCACGGGACTTCTAGTAAGGCAGTTTTCAGGAGAGAGATTTATCTCTTCAATCGCACTCCTGAAAACTGCCTTACAGAAGAACATACAAAGGAAACAAGGTGCATAGCATTAGAAGAGAGCTTTTGTTCCTTTCTTTTAAATAAAATGCTGAAATGCTTCTATTGAATAAATGCAAAAAATAAAAAAAGTTTAAGCCTAATTTATTCATGCAAATACCTTGACTACCAACTGCTGCTACAGAAAATCATATACCACAAGGAAATTTATAGGCTCTGATAACTACTGGGCCTTCAGCACTGCCTGGCATCTCTCTGTGTGATCCTGGTCAGTTCTACTGTAAGGAATTATTTCAAATTTGTTTTGAACAACTCTTTACTCTCTCAAAAATTCACCAAAACCACCACTGATCAGGATCCTCAAGTTCAGGTAAGGTCACGCGGCTCTAGTGCCGTTAGAAAGAAGGCACTGCTAGACAGCTATATTTGTCACAGAGGACATGAAGCAGTATCCTACACACCAGAAAGAGAACAATCACCCATTAATGAACCATCTTAGACTTAGCCTCTAGAACAGTGACAACAAAAACTCTAGTTCATCCAATCTGTCATTTTATCATGCAGCTGAGTTGACTGATAATCGTACAGTTAGAGATTCCATACCAGTTCGATTCAACAGTAGTAATACCTTTAAGTTAAATAGTACTCACAAATGTTGATTTTTGGGGTTTTTTTAAGTGTTACCTTTCAAAAGTAATTATAGAATATTTTAAAAATAAAAGAAACATGAAATCACAAACAGGTATATTGAAATTTATCATCAACCTAGTAAAAATGGAATAAAAGGTACTTACCACCACCAAGAATGTAAGAATCCTGGTGGCTCCCCCAATGTGATGTTTTTTTCCCATCTTATCTAAAGTGAACAAAAGATACATTAATTTCTTAATATTTTTTCCCTAAACATATTTTCCTATTTAAAATATGTAAAATATGTAAGATTTTAATCCTTTTCATACTGTTTTTAAGTTTTACAAGTGCTCATTTTACATAGTGATTTTTGACGGGATAATCTCTGAAACAAGAGGCCACCATTGTTTTCCTAAATTTGCTTCCCTTATACCAAAGTTTCAAAAGGTATTTGAGGATTTAAGGTACATCAAACCCAGTTTCTAACATGAACATGAAAATCAGTTATCATCAACCCAGATACTTCTAAGAGATAGCACATAATAGGTACAGACTCCAGGTTATACGTTAAGGATTGATTTTTAAAATAAATTCTTGCTTTGGTAGGATGAGAGTAAAAAGGAGTGTGTGTTCCATAAAATGAATTATAAGACACAGTAATATTAACTTTCTGGTTGTTATAACCCCATCTGTTCATATTTCAGACAAATTGGAGTTCACTATAATAATAAAAATTTATACTAGAACAATACATATCAAAAACTTAAAAGGCCTCATTAAATATACTTTACAAAGTAAATATAGAAATTGGAAAGCCTGATGGATTAGCGCTGAAGAGTAGTGAACAAGAAAGATAAAGATCTTTGCATTCAGGAAGATTTACACTTTCATAGGGAAATTAGACCATAAATAAGCAAACCTGAGGGAGAGAGGGTGAGAAAGAGAAAGAATATATTTATACTAAACATAGACAGTGACAAGTGGCTGTTGTGGAAAACAAAACGGGGAAGGAAAACAAAGAACAGAAAGATGGTTAGAAGTGAGTTACAATTTTAACATGATCCAGAAAGACCTCAAAACCCAGTAATGTTTATATATACATTCATATAAAGCTATATTCATATATGGCTTAATTTCCTAGTTTAAAATAACTAGAAATTATTTAACAATATCCCAGTAAAATATATCCCACAGGTCCTTAACCCTGGTAGGACATAAACTATAATTATAGATTTTGAAAAACATAAGGAATCCTTTCTATAATCAAGTATGTAAGAAGTTAGGAGTTCTTATCCCCAAGTTTTGTTTTTGTTTTTGTTTTTTTTAAGTTATATAATTGGAACTCAGAAAATAATCCTAAATGTAGAAAACAAAAACTTTCTATGTTAGAGATGGAAAAATATAAGTACAATTAAAATCACTGAAGCTGTTTGCATGTTGTAAAGTTCACAAAATGTAAATCATTGAGGACCTTGAAGCAGACAAGTAATTTGCTCTTAAAAAAAAAAAAACTAAACAAGGAAACTTTCTAAAGATTAGAAATTTAGATATGCTATAGTTATTTTTAAAAAAGCAAAAGGAGAAATTCCAGGAATTAATGACTAAATATGACCAAGGGACCAGAACATGTTACACACATGTAAGCCAGATCCACCTTGAATTCTTCCAAGTAGTAATACATGTATCTTTCACCTAATTTCAATTGATCAACATTACATCTTCTTGGCTCATAAAAAAGTAAAAAGTGCACACTAAATTAATCTTATGAAAAATAAAATGTATGTCCTACTAAAATTATAATTCAAAATCGCGTCTCACTGTTCCATAAATCTTTCATCATTCTTCCACTAATTCTTTTTGAAAGGGCATGAGAATGGCACCTCCCAGCTGTGTCAGACACACTAATATTCCTAGAATTATCCTAGTCATATAAACAAATTTTTCAAAGTAGGGTCCTTACATTTCAATTCAGCTCATCTAGCCTTCACATAACATGACTGTGAACAAAAGTAGACAGTACTATACTACATTAAAGATGGAGAATGTGAAAGGACTTCTGGAAACAGTTAAGTGGCACAGCTGGGCTTCAATGCCAGACTCTGGAGGCAGAATTAGACCGAGTCTAGAATGTTCCAATACACCACGGGAGCTCCTAAGTGGTCTCTCTCCCCCACCCTCTTGCCACTTCTGCAACCAATCATCAGCTCTTACAGAAGATAAAGTGCTCTAAGAAAAAAGTGTTATGCTATATTGTTTATATTTTATATGGTCTTTGATGAGGGAAGTCTGAAAGTAAAACATTTATATTTGAAACAAGTTTACATCTCATAACTCCTTATAATTTGATAAAAACTCAAAATACTTCAAGTATATCATATTTTTATTCCCATATAGTGAGTAGAGTTCCTTCTCCGCTTAAATTGTGTGCCTGTGGCAGAAAGAGCTAGAACTTTGGTCCATCATATTTAAAACAAAAACCATCCATTTACAGTCATTGTATTTAAAAAATATATAGTGATTTAATGTATTCCCAAAAATGAGATATTGCTACATAGAAATGTTTCCATACTGAACAGTACTTTTTGCCTCTAATTACTCTAGTTATTATTTATAAAACTGAAGCTTAAGAAAAAACTGAATCCTGATATATATATAAAACTAAGGCATATTCATTGCAGCATTGTTAGACACAATGAAAATTAGGAAAAATCTGAAAAACAAATCAAAAAAATTTTGATACATAATATAGAATAATGTGAGTTATTAAAAAGGATAAAATATATTTACTATGCTAATTGGTTTTTCATGCTGAATATTTGGAAGGCTGGAAAAGAACATATGTAGGGTAATACTTTTTGTTTAAAAAATGCATACATATGTAAGTGTGCAGTTGGATGTATGTATCTTTAAAAAAAAAATGTCAAATGGAAAACTATTATCCCTGGAAAAGGGAACTTTCTTTTTAAAATCATATTCATCTGTGTAGTTTAATTTTTTAGCAGATGTAAATTAATGATAGATGAGGTTGAGGAACAGCCAAAGAATACCTCTACACGTCAATAGTCACCCTGCTATTTTTGTAGAGACCTTTTCTGTTGTATCAAGTTCCATGCACTTTAGGCTTCCTTATACGTGTGAGTGGCATTTATGCAAACAAATTGCCCCTTTCTGTTCTATTTTTTCTTCTTCTATTACTCCAGCTCCCAATGTGTATTTCCTAATTTTAGAGCTTTCTCTTTAATCATCCACCACCTCTTCCTTCCATCTTTCACCAAGCTAAAAGCTGAATTCTCCTATATCTTTCATGCAAACCTCCAGTCCAATTCCCACTGCCATAGTTCTCATCTGAGGGCCTCATCTGTCATTATGCTGTGTCTCTGTCACATGATGTAGTGTTTTCAGCTTTTCTGCACAAATATAGAACCGAACACTGAATCATACACAAAAGGTATATCGGGGGCCTCTCTGGCAGTACAGGGGTTAAAGAGAGTGCTTCAAACTACCACCAGCCACTACAGCCCAAATTCAATCCCAGGCTGGCCAGGCAGGTGACCCCCATGGCACAGCAGACCTCTCCCTTTTGCTTGCTGCTCCCTGCAGCAGTGTGTTTCAGTAGATCTGCTTGCTCTGCTCCCCACTCCATCTCTGGTGAAACCTCTCATCTCCAGTACCTCTGGCCTGCATCCCAGTTCTTATAGGCATAAATAAACTTTCTTTTTTTTTTTTTAAAAGGATGTCAGCAGTGGTAAGATATGCCATGATTTATAAATAATAATTAGAAATTACAAATGCCTACATACTCTGAAACAGCAATTCTTTAGGAATTTAGTCTATCAATATGGTTGAGAATGTGTGTGTGTATAAGTATACATATATGATGATTTTCACTGAAGCACTGTTTTAATTTTTTTTAAATATATGCTACTATGATTTTTTAAAGAATTATTTAATTATGTATACAGAACTGGGGTACAGGCCAGAGGTGCAGGAGCAGTGAGAGGATTCACCAGAGACAGAGTGGGGAACAGAACAGGCAGATAGATGAAATACACTGCTGAGGGGAGCAGTGGGCGGATCAGGAGAGGTCTGCCACGCCATGTGGGTCCCCCCCCAGGGCAGGGGATCGAACTCACACAGAGGCAGCTGTGGCTAACTTGCAGTGCTGTGCCCTAGCCCGCTGCACCACCAGGGAGGCCCTGAAGCATTGTTTTAAACTGCAAAAACATATATGGAAAGCAACCTTAATGTCCATATATTATGACAAATATAAAATGAAGTACTCTACAGCTATATAAAAAGCATTCTTAAGTTTCATGAGTCATATAAAATGATTTCCAAAAGTCAAAGATCAAAACAGTGTATATAATAAATTACGTTAGGGTCAAATGGGCTGAGGATGTCAAAATATAACAACCTCCAGTTATCAAATAAATAACATGGGGATGTATTCTATAGTGTGGTAATTATAATTAATAATGTTGTATTGCATATTTCCAAATTATTAAAGAGCAGACCTTAAAAGTCCATATAACAAGAAAGAACCTTTTTGTAACTATTTATGGGAATGGATGTTAACTGGCCTTACAGGGGTGATCATTTCACAAAACATACAAATGCAGAATCATATTGTCTACCATAAACTAACATAATGGTGTATATCAATTTCACCTCATTAAAAAACTACAAATACTACAAACTAGTATTTGTGCAAACAAAGAAAAAATAATACACATACAAATTGTGAACTTAACTTTTCATCATTTGCTTTCAACAAGGTATACGAGTCATTCATCTACTCTCTCCTGTCTCTCAGCCCCCACTGCTTCTTGTACGCCATTCTATGCTTGGTGCTTAAGTCTGAAAATGACCTTTTCTAGAATCCTTGCCATCTACTTCCCTGTAAAGTTCTGCCATCAAGAATCACTAGCAGGAAATCAAAAGGCAGAAGAAGAATAATAAGCTTCTGACCCGGCTCCCAAAGTGAAGCAGCTGCTGACTCCAGCAGCATCAAGAGCAGCATGGGAAAAGCAATTCTGGAAGGTCACTGGCACCTTTTTGGAGCTTTTAGGCTTGTCAAATGGGACCTACTTCAGTGGTTTCTCCAACCGCACAGCAGCAGCAGGTATGAAGCTCATGGGTTCCAAGCTTTTCAGAATATTTTTAATCCTTGCATATTTTTTGAAAACCTATTTTTTTAATTAATACCATAAATGAAGAAAGGTAGCT